CATCGCGGAGTCATAAACTCGTAGATTGTTCTTCCAGGTGAGCCAAAATGGCGTCCGCGGACCGAGCGTCCTCGGATGTGGATTAACGGAGTTTTATCTTCGGGGCTACAGACGGCGATAAATTTCGTCAAGTGGACAGAAACGAAGGAGCGTCGGCGGTCGCGTTTTATCGGATCCCTAAAAATATTTCCACATCGAAATACGGTCCTGGAAGCGGAGGAGTGGCGCATTAAGCCGGCCGATCGGCTGCCGAACGACCGGCCCACGGTTATTACGCATCCCCTGGCCGATTCGACGAGGTAGCAGACCCGTAAAGTCCTGCGGCGAATTAATCATAAACTTGCTGAACAACAATTCTGGTTTGCGTTCGCAACGACCATTACTCGCGGCCAGAATCTCCCTATTGTACGATTGTTACGATTACGGGTGTCGTCAGAATTATATGCCGAAATTAAAATTAACAGCGTCGTCGCCGCCGCCGACGGGACATACAGGGTGTCCCAAAAATGTCTCGCAATCCGAAAGTGACGGGTTCCTCGGATCATTTGAAGTAACTTTTTCCTTTACAAAAATTTTCTCCGAGGCACCATTAACGATTTATTAACGAAAAACAGTGACCAATGCGAGGCGAGCTCAGCTGGCGCGAGGCGACCGAGCCAATGAGCGGAACTGGGCTTCGTTGGTTGGCTGGGCCGCGTCGCGTCGGCCATACTCGATTCTTATTGGTCACTGTTTTTCGTTAATAACTCGTTAACGGTGCCTCGGAGAAAATTTTTGTAAAGGAAGAACCTGCTTCAAATGATCCGAGGAACCCGCCATTTCCGGATTGCGAGACATTTTTGGGACACCCTGTATATTTGGGCGTTCAATTCGCAGGACGATTATTCCGCGCGCCGATCGGAATACGCGTGCCTCTCGCGGATAGAAAATGCAATTGTTCCGAGGACAGAAGTCCCTTACAGGTCCCGGCGAATTAATTAATTCCGACCCGCGATTCCGATTTTACGAAATCCGTTTTATAAAACCCGAAATCGGGGGGAAAAATAGGGTCCGCGTTGACGCGACGGTAAATCAAGAACGGTTATATTTTCGTTTGTAACGTCTTTGGCAAGTCCCCCGAATTAATTAGAATTCGAAATGGCGATTCCGATAGATCGTTTCGCGAAATCGGAAATTCGCTGGAACATTTCGACTGAAAAAAGACATTTATGCGGCGCCGTCGCGACGTTGTGTCGCGAATCGAAACAGGTGTGGACAATTATATGCGTTCAAAAGGGCCCCGTTACAGCTCCACCAAATTAATCAGAATTTTAAATGTCATTCCGCGATGCCATGAATCCGCGGGGAAATTTGTTTCGCCGGGAAACGTTTCTCGACGGGGACAAATTGAAAATGTGATCATTGCGAACGTCATGAGCGCAGAAAAATCCGCAGTTCGATAATAACAATAATTGGCCATTGCGGCGGGCTCGCGATGACACGGAGAACACGCGGGCTCGTAGATTAATAAAATGCTGGCCAAACGTTTTTGCGAAATGTGCAGAAAATTGTCACGGAACCCCGGCGGGGGCGGGGGACACGTTCCGCGCGCGGAGTTGCTTGATTAATTGATTGATCTCGCCGGGGGCACCGATGCTCAACATCTGGAATTTTTCCTGATGCACATGTTCGACGATATTCGACGCGATTAAATGAAAATTGGAAAGTTTCGGCTCGTGACAGTTTTATCGCGGGCTGCGATACATCGGCGTAGTGATAGCGGGGCACATGGGGGGGGGGCAAAGAGAGGCCGGCTCTCGACGACCTTGAGAGAACAGTCATTTCCTTTTACTATGCCTATAAACGTCAAATATTATTGCGCCGAGGAGCGCTAATATCAGCGTAAATTGAACTGCGAAGGTCTTGTAATTGAATTGATTAACCTCATCGGCAATCGGAAATCCATGTTACGATTTCTATATATCAATAAATCTTTCATTTCCAATATTAATTTTTCATATTTAGTAAGACTCTCGATTGATAACCTTCGCGAATCCGGCGGAGATTTTTCTTCTTGCGTAATTCGAAATTTGCAATCCAAGATGGCGGCCGGGAGTTATAAATTAGGACAAAGCAGCAAGCATTCCGCAGCCAATGAAATTACATTTAAAAGTGTCATCGCGTGTCTAAGCTTCCATTAACATTTGTTCGTCACGACTTAATTAATTCGCCGTGGATCCGCGCGGTCCCATTGGTCAGAATTTAACGGGGAAAGAGGGAACAATACTTTTACCGCGCCAATATGTGACACATTTCTCGATTCTCGAGACGAACGTTTATAAGACTGCGCAAAATGATATTAAATCGGGGCTCGCGAAGCGTGAGAAAGAATGAAGAAATGGAAATTACGATGAAAGCTGGCTTATGGAGCTCTCATTACATCAACTCAGCCACGTTCTTGGAATTTTCTTCGACTCATTTACATTTTCCTGGCGTGTCCGCGTAATTCCATGATTTGGTTCTGAATACGTTGAAAATATGCTTTCACACATTCGCAGAATATGACGAGAAAATTGAACTATTCTTATCTTAAAGAAACAGAAGTTTCAGATTGAACCGATAATCATGATTTCCATTCAACATTTTAATCCAAATGTACCAAATACGCCAATTTTAAGATTAGATTAATATAAATCTTGTTTCTTCAATCGAAACAATGCATTAGAAAAATGTATAAAAATCATCGCTGACCGTTTTCCTTTTCTTCAAAACTGCATCAAATACGTTGATTTTACGATTAGATCAATAGAAATGGTTTTCACCGAACATTTCGATCGAAATCATGAACTTAATTTTACGACAGTATTCTAATTTCGTTAAGAAATGATTTTGTACCCAAGAAAAATGTATAAATATGGTAGGCGACTGTTTCCTTTTTTTTAAAACTACACCAAGTACATTAATATTAAAATTCGATTAAAATACAATTAGTTTCCATTGAGAATTTTGTATCGAAACCATGAATTGAACGAATTTCCTATTCAATAGTTCCGCGAGGAACGATTAAAGTTCGATTCTGTTAATATCCAATCGCGCGATCGATCGGGGACAGAGTAAAAATCGGCAACAAATTGGATAGAACGGATCGATCGCTCGATTTCATCCAGCGTCGTGGTGGAAACAGCTCCAGAAGAGAGCAAAATACGTCGTCCCGTGGAAAGTTCGTTTCTGCCAGGCAGATATTCGTTCAACTCCGATGGTATTGTTCCCCGTCGGGTGAAACTCATCTCTCACCCCCATCTTCACCCCCACAGCTCACAACTGCAATGTCAAATTGCACAATATTCATCGAAGTTTCTCCCTCTCCCTCCCTCTCTCTCTCTCTCTCTCTCTCTTCCTCTCCCTGTCTATATCATTCTCCATCTTTCTCTCTCAGATTACTTCGAATCGCTTAAACTTTCGGCGACCGGATTATTTAATCGAGGGGAGGGAACAGCGGCCGGGAAGAAATCGCGAATTTTAAGGCGACTCTTTATCGAGCGGCGAACGGGACTTAAGGGTGGCGAGAGAGAAGATATCGAGTTTAATTACCCCCACGGTTCGACGCTGTCGAACTTTCGCAAACTGAGTCGCGCCCACCCCTCTTCGCCCCCAGGCCGGCGGAAGTTTTCTATTGACTCGGCCTCCGGAGAAATATGAAAGTGCAGCACCCGGACACGTTATGCTAGTGACTATGGCATCGGTCGCGTGACGCCTACCACGCGTAATTGATTTCTTTGCCAGCCTCGGCGACGTGTAACACGTCGCGCCGTCTCGGCGAGTGCTTCGGAGGGCAGAAAAACGTCGTCGAAAAAACTTCGAGTAACTTCCGCTGGAAGCAATCGGAGCGAAATAAGGTTGAGAGAAAGAACTTCGTTGATATTTTTAACGGAAGATCGTTGAAGTTTATCTGTACGTTCGTGAGAAAAAATTGGGATTAAACATTGTGACATAGATGTTATTTCTGCGAAAAGTTGCGTGCGTTATCGTCGGCGATTGATATTTTAGTAAGATGACTCGCGCACTTGATAACAGAACCTTCGAATGAAATTGCAGCGCTGAAATTGTCGTATCGAACGCACTGCTGTCTTTCATTTTACTATTTATTTATCGTGCATTTATATCGGTCTGCGGTTTTACGTGCAATTTGGAGGGACAAATGTAAAAGTGAACAATGCTAAGTCACCGAACGTACAGGGTGTCTCTGAAGTAGCGGCACTCGAAAAGAGGAAATTGACACCAGAAACGAATCCAAAATTTTAAGACACGTTTCCTCAGTTTCGATTCGATCGATCAAAAATTCTCTGCTATTTCTAACTAAACCGTGGATTTTATTCAATCGTGATAAAAATTGAACAGGTTTAATACAGAACTGTAAAGATGTTGGATGAGAATTCGGGACTGCTGTTTCACTACTGTTTGACTTAATAAAACCATTCAAAGGAACCATTAATTTTCATTGACTTCTAGTTTCTTAAAATTGACTTGGCATAACTTTATATTCCATAAAAATCCGCACTTTCGCAGATAGAATAGACAGTCAATGGAAAGAACATTCTGTTTGATCCACTACTCAACTGAGCGTACATACGGAACAAATATACATATCCATCATTCTTTCGACAATTCTTAAAGTGAGAAATCGTGCCCGCACAGCAGAAGCTGAAACAGTTCCAAAACCGTGAAGCTGCTCACAAACAGACCGACTAGCAAATCGACAAAACAATGGCTAGCCACAAATAACGCAAAGATCCACGAATGTACCACCAGAGAGACACCTTGTATCCTTCGCGCACCCTCCTCGAACTCACTCGGCGATTAATCACCGCGTTCGTCGGTTTCAGGATGATCGGTTGTTTCGATCGATTCCGGGCGTATCGATCGTCGATCGCGAGTAAAGTCGGCACTGGCACGAGTCACGCGGTCCGCCAAAACAAACCGAGCACCGTAAAACCGCCGAGCTTGCGATCTATGGATCGTACCTTGAGATCCTGGCAGGACACACCGAGCGAGGACATCGAACGCGTACGATCCACCTGGCTTCGTCCGCCCTCTCTCTCTCGCGCGCTCTCTCTCTCTCTCTTTCTATCTCCCTCTCCTGCTCTCTCTCTCTTTTTTTCTCTCTTTCTCTGACAGTAAACTGTTTTCCCTCGGTCGGCGACGAAACGGAGGGTTGACGAGCTTGCGAGCTTGCGGTGGCACGTGAACACCACGGCCGAGTGGCGCGACTGAACTCGGCTGAACCGTGTCGGAGCTTGACTCCGGTTGAAGCTTTCGGGCCGGCGCTCTCTCGACCGACCGTCGGTGGCAGCGTCCGGGAGGCGAAGGGGTCGGCGGTGGTTCCGAAGGGTTGGGAAGGGGCTCGGAGGACGAGCGGCTGTGGATCTGGTAGGGGACAGGCGGGAGGGGGCGCGGATAGGGCTGAGGAAAGAGGAAACACGACGAAAGACCCGGAACGCAAGGGTTGAAGAATATCTGAGACGGTCGGGTGTCGGGGGGGAGGGTGTCGCGGCAGGAAGAAATGCGGGATTGATGCGGAAAGGGGTAAGCGGGGGCCCCAGGAATGGGCAAGAAAGCATTGCAAATTTTGAGGAGATAGTGCCAGTGGTTGAAGGGTTGGAATTGGAGAAGAGAGTGAGGAAATAATATTATCTTACGGGGGAACGAAAAAGAATGGCGGAATAATGTTTTATTACCTATGGAACAGTAAAACTGAAAAGCTTTTGGTGCTTTCTAGGAATCGCGGGACTGAATTTATTCGGACCTTCCTGATTTTTACGATAACTAGTCTGCGGATATTTGTGCGAAATCGAAATTATCGTCAATTTCAAAATCCATGAGTCAGCTGGACATTTCTTTCTTGAATAATTTCAACGAGTTGAAAATAATGCATTGATGTCTCGACATAAATTTTGATATTCTCATTGTTTGAAATTTCATTTGTGTCATAAATGCATAAAATCCGCGTGTCTGAATCAGTAATTCAATCATTTCCTAAAAGAGAATCTTTACAATTTCAACGTTTTTATAATGAGAAATGAGAGATCGTTTTGTTATATTATAATAAATATTATTAACTATTATTATTATGTATATACTACTATTATTATATATACTATTATTATTATTAAATTATAATAAATATAAATATTTATTAAATTATATTTTAAAAGGGACAAAATGGCGGGCACCGTATCCGTGAATGTGTACAAGAAAGTTACCCTTCCTGGACGATTAAAGAATATTTGAGAAAGGTTGAAAATTTGAAGGATCCAAGAAGTACGAAAGGGTGACGAAGTTGGACATAATTTATTCTTACAAAGGTAAACCGGAAAATCTGAAGAGTTCCAGAACGTTTCGTAAGGGGCGGAATGGAGATTACGAATCGGAGAGTATCGCCAGGGGTGCGGTGAATTGTGGACAGGATCGACGCGGGAGACAAGACTCGCGGAGAAAACTGGGGATCGAGGAATTCGGGAGGGGGGGTGGGGGTTGAACTTTTGTAGTCCGGGGAAGTTTGAAGGGGTTGAAATGCTCGAAGATCTTCAGGATACGAGGAAACAGTGGAGGAATAAGATATTCCAGGGAAAGTTGCGGAAAGAAGACACGGAACTTCGTAAGTTTAAGGATCAGAATTCAAAGGGATGAAAGAAAATAAGGGGTCGAGGATTGAGAAATTCAGTGGGACTGAAGATTTCGAGGACTTGAGAAGTTCCGGAGGTTGGAAATGCCGTGGGAGTTGTACGCGAAAAAAGTAACAATAAAAAGATATGGTCTTCTGGCGAAAGTTGTAAAAAATGGATACGAATGAACGTGGTCGGAGATAAGGGTTGCAGAATTTTGAGAAAGAAGTGTTATAGAACCGATGTCGCCGGAAGCACAGTTCGAATTGCTCCAGCTGGACGAAGAAACGAGACTTTCGGAAGAGACGGATAAGGGTGAAATGTCGGGAGAACTCGGCGTGGCGGAAAGAAGGAAAAATAAGAGAAGAGTAATAATATGAAAATCCCTTATTGGGTTGCGATGGGAGGGCGTCGTAAAAATGTCACGAGTAACATAAACAAGAGCAGACAAGATTGATGCAGCAGAAGATGGTGGAATTATAAAGAAGAGGAGCAGGGGATTGAAAAATCTGGCGGTGTTAGAAATAAGAGGATACAACGGGAAGGAAGTATGACGGACGAGTGGAAACACGAAAAAGGTGCTAGAAAGCAGCTGAAAGGTGACTAAGGTGGTGGGGGAGGGGTGGAAGAGGGTTGCGAAGAAATGCAAAAGAGATTGATGGGGCTGAAGAGAGTGGACTTACAGAAACGGGGGGAACGGGGGTGCGAGAATTTTCAGGGATTGAGAAACTTGGAGGAAATAGCAGACAGGAGAACGTATTAAAAATAGCAGCATGTATTTGCGGGGGTTGCAGACAGAAGATGTGGCAGTAGAACGTGGGAAGGGTTGAGAAATGTCGGAGGGTGGTACATGGCGTACGGGTGCGAGAATGTCGCTAAGGGTCACGAAGAAGTGCTGACAAGATTGATGCGGCAGGAACGGACATGAAATTATAGGGAACGTGAGTGGGAGGGGTGGGTTGGAAAATTTGCGAGGATGAAGCGAAGGGGGCGCGGGGAAAGTGTAACACGTTTTTACGCGGATTACAAGCGGGAGATGTAACGGAAGAATAAAAACACGGGGTGGGTGAACGACCGGAAGCCGGGGTAAAAAATTGGGGTGAAACGTTGTCACGGCGGGGATGAAAGCAGCGGAGCTGCTGGGAAGAAAAATATCGAGAGCGAACTTTAAGGCAGTTGTGACAAAATAGTGCGAGAGCGTTTCGAGGGTTGCGAAAATATGACGGAAGACGTTGAGTTCGAGAGGGGCGGAAGGAGCTGAAATAAGGAATGGAGCTGAAGTCGCGCGGAAAGAAATGCAGACAAGATTGATGCGGCGGAAATGAAGATAGCGGCGTCGGTAGGGACGTTAGGGGCTAAATATAGTAGCAAAAGAACAACGCGTTTTCAAGGGCCCGCGGAACTCTAATATTTGTGGACAGGAATCTACGGATGCCTTTACCGAGAAAACAATTCTTATTCGCCGGCTGGAACTTTAATGAAAGAGGAAGAAATAATATCGAGGGGAAATGAAGAGCTTCAAAGGCGGCAGGTTGTAGTAGGAAATAATAAAAAGGTATGATTGGCTTCTCGCATTGCCAAACAAACATCGACACGATTACAATGTTTCTCCATTGTCTCACAGACTTTCCCTAGCCAGAAATATACACTTACCATTTCGTTAACATATCTCAGTAAAATTTGATGCTTTAATAAATATATACGTATCACTAAAATAAAGATACATATCATAGTGAAGCATATAACGCATTGTTCATATTGCAATATTGTTTTATCCAGTGTATAGAACAAGTAAAAGAAATAATAGAAATGTAAACGAAATAGAAAATAATTTAAAAAAAATATAAAATAATATTTTCGTTGACATAATAAAAAATTTTTATCCTATGTTAAGAGAACGTTTACTACACTCAATATTTATTTACTATATTTATATATATACAATATTATATGTATACAATATTTATTTATCTACTATAAAATTAAAATTTAATGTTAAATTAAATATAATCTCGATACCGTCAAAATTCTTTTGAAACGAACTATACCTAGCAATTCTTATTGCGCCTCAGAATCGCCACACGATCGCAGAAGGTTAATGGCTGGCAAATTCTGCTCGAGGAGAATTCGGGAAATTTATTCCTAGAAATCTGGGAAGACTGATGGGCCGTAGAGAAATCCATTTGGTTTTTCCGACACGGCAATTGATAGAATTTTTACCGGCCAGGAGAACACGTTCCTAGGATTGAAACGGCGGAACGTATCGAAGATTCGACGTTCGGGCGGCAACATTTTTGCACGCCCGAAGACATGGGAATTCAGCAGGAAACATTTATATCTGGCTTGAGTAATGATTCCGACGTGAATCGTGATACGAGAACCGTGCTCCGATATATAATCGTTTCCTACGGGCAGCTGCCCTAATGTTACGGGTAACATTCCAAGTGCCAGCGATCCTGGCTGCCTTGGATCCTTTCCGGGTCGTGACTAACACAGGCGAAAGTTACCCTCGCAAAAATAATACTCCTGCAGCTAAAACATCCAGCCTTTTTTCGCGAACCGTGCTCGGCGAGCACGGGATGCATGGGAACTGTGAGTGCAGTCGACCACAAAAATCAAATTATCCATGGCATGTTTTAGCAGGAAAATCATTTCATAAAATTATTCACAGAGGCGATTATACAAAAATTATAGAATGCGGTCAGCACAAGCTCTGGGCAACCTTTCGCGAGGAATAATGTATTTATAGAATGTTTTAGGAAACGATTTTATAAAATTTGAAAATGGGAAAATAATTTGATAAAATTATAAAATGAGAAGATAATATTAAAAAATTATAAAATGAGAAAATAATTTGCTAAAATTACGAAATGAAAAAAATAATTTTATAAAATCGTAAAACGAGAAAATAATTTTATGAAATCGGAAAATGAGGAAATAATTTTAAAGAATTATAAAACCAGAAAACAATTTAATAAAGTTAGAGAAAACAGCTTGGAGAATAAATCGACCGTATGTGAATCATTTTATAATAAAAAAAAAATAATTATACGCGAGAGTTGCTAGAGATAAAATTGCGGTTCCACGAAAATCATAATTAATTCGATGTAAACACGCGAACGTCGCGGATAGAGAAGATTTCGAGGAATGAGTGCGGGATAACGGGAATTCATGAATTAACAGTGGAAACAAATCCTGTGGTCAAATGACCGAGCTAAATGCTTGCACAGAAATTACGTTCTACGCGTAACTCGTTCCTGTAGAAGTGAGGGATCGTAAGCACCGTACTTCGAAAGATCCGTCGTGGAATTTCGGTCGAACGCTGGCTCGAATATTTTGATACATCGTCGTAAACCGGGTGCTCCACTAACGTCGCCCGGGCGCGTCCTCTGATGGAGCACGGACAAAGACGTGAAACTTTCCGATGCCTGAAGTTCAGCACGCCCTTTATGTGCACATCCGACGCACACTTTCTTCCCGGAGAAATTTTCATGGCCGGCGTTGAACAAAATTCCATCGGGTTCGCGCGACATGTCGCAACGTTTCTACATTGACATAAGATAACTGATACTCTGACATTCCGGGGAAAAATTTCTCCTTTGGATGTTACGCGTCTGCCTCGCTGCTCATATTCGATGCTATGCCAGCGGTTCTT